CACAGAGACCCACAGACTCACACAGAGACCCACAGACTCACACAGAGACCCATAGACACACACAGAGACCCATAGACTCACACAGAGACCCACAGACTCACGCAGAGACCCACACACAAACGCAGAGACCCATAGATTCACACAGAGACCCATAGACTCACACAGAGACCCATAGACTCACACAGAGACCATCAGACTGACACAGAGACCCACAGACTCACGCAGAGACCCATAGACTCACACAGAGACCCATAGACTCACACAGAGACCCACAGACTCACACAGAGACCCACAGACTCACACAGAGACCCACAGACTCACACAGAGACCCACAGACTCACACAGAGACCCACAGACTCACACAGAGACCCACAGACACACACAAAGACCCATAGACTCACACAGAGACCCACAGACTCACGCAGAGACCCACAGACTCACGCAGAGACCCATAGACTCACGCAGAGACCCATAAACTCACACAGAGACCATCAGACTCACACAGGGACCCACAGACTCACGCAAAGACCCATAGACTCACACAGAGACCCACAGACTCACGCAAAGACCCATAGACTCACACAGAGACCCATAGACTCACACAGAGACCCACAGACTCACACAGAGACCCACAGACTCACACAGAGACCCACAGACTCACGCAGAGACCCATAGATTCACACAGAGACCCATAGACGCACACAGAGACCCATAGACTCACACAGAGACCCACAGACTCACACAGAGACCCAGGGTTTGTTGTCCTTCCCCGCATCTCCGATGAGATGCGGGGCTACGCACGGGGCGACAGAAGTTCAACATACAGTGAGGGAAAAAAGTATTTGATCCCCTGCTGATTTTGTACGTTTGCCCACTGACAAAGAAATTATCAATCTATAATTTTAATGGTGGGTTTATTTAAACAGTGAGAGACAGAATAACAACAACAAAATCCAGAAAAACGCATGTCAAAAATGTTATAAATTTAAATGCATTTTAATTAGGGAAATAAGTATTTGACCCCCTCTCAATCAGAAAGATTTCTGGCTCCCAGGTGTCTTTTATATAGGTAACGAGCTGAGATTAGAAGCACACTCTTAAAGGGAGTGCTCCTAATCTCAGCTTGTTGCATGTATAAAAAACACCTGTCCACAGAAGCAATCAATCAATCAGATTCCAAACTCTCCACCATGGCCAAGACCAACGAGCTCTCCAAAGATGTCAGGGACAAGATTGTAGACCTACACAAGGCTGGAATGGGCTACAAGACCATTGCCAAGCAGATTGGTGAGAAGGTGACAACAGTTGGTGCGATTATTCGCAAATCGAAGAAACACAAAAGAAATGTCAATCTCCCTCGGCCTGGGGCTCCATGCAAGATCTCACCTCGTGGAGTTGCAATGATCATGAGAACGGTGAGGAATCAGCCCAGAGCTACACGGGAGGATCTTGTCAATGATCTCAAGGCAGCTGGCACCATAGTCACCAAGAAAACAATTGGTAACACACTACGCCGTGAAGGACTGAAATCCTGCAGCGCCCGCAAGGTCCCCCTGCTCAAGAAAGCACATATACATGCCGGTCTGAAGTTTGCCAATGAACATCTGAATGATTCAGAGGACAACTGCGTGAAAGTGGTGTGATCAGTTGAGACCAAAATGGAGCTCTTTGGCATCAACTCAACTCGCCGTGTTTGGAGGAAGAGGAATGCTGCCTATGACCCCAAGAACACCATCCCCACCGTCAAACATGGAGGTGGAACATTATGCTTTGGGGGTGTTTTTTCTGCTAAGGGGACAGGACAACTTCAACGCATCAAAGGGACGATGGACGGGGCCATGTATCGTCAAATCTTGGGTGAGAACCTCCTTCCCTCAGCCAGGGCATTGAAAATGGGTCGTGGATGGGTATTCCAGCATGACAATGACCCAAAACACACGGCCAAAGGAACAAAGGAGTGGCTCAAGAAGAAGCACATTAAGGTCCTGGAGTGGCCTAGCCAGTCTCCAGACCTTAATCCCTTCGAAAATCTGTGGAGGGAGCTGAGGGTTCGAGTTGCCAAACGTCAGCCTCGAAACCTTAATGACTTGGAGATCTGCAAAGAGGAGTGGGACAAAATCCCTGCTGAGATGTGTGCAAACCTGGTGGCCAACTACAAGAAACGTCTGACCTCTGTGATTGCCAACAAGGGTTTTGCCACCAAGTACTAAGTCATGTTTTGCAGAGGGGTGAAATACTTATTTCCCTCATTAACATGCAAATCAAATTATAACATTTTTGTCATGCGTTTTTCTGAATTTTTGTTGTTGTTATTCTGTCTCTCACTGTTCAAATAAACCTACCATTAAAATTATAGACTGATCATTTATTTATCAGTGGGTAAACGTACAAACTCAGCAGGGGATCAAATACTTTTTCCCCTCACTGTACTTACAAACGAATGAGGTTCCAGAGGTCTGTTCGTAAGTCGATTTGTTTGTAAGTCCAACTTTACTCCTGTCGATTCCAAAAATGTTGTACGGCATGTACACTACACACGGGAAAGGTCTTTAAAAGTTGTATAATCTCCTGTAGATGTCACTGGTGTTTCATGTTCTACAGATGTAGATGCCACTGGTTCTTCACGTGGCATCTATATGAAATACGGACATGTTAGTTCGTATCTCTGAAAGTGCGTAAGTCGAATGTTCGCAAGTAGAGGAGTGCCGAACATACATTGGAATACACTACCAACGATCGCTTATTTTGGATGTACCCGTCCGTCCCGCCGGACGTGACGTCTACCCAGCCAGCAAAACGTTTTTCTTCTGAAACACCATGAAGACGGCTGCTGTGAGAGCGTCAATACCTGTGGGACGCGGGTGACGTCGCCACGCAGGTGCGTGCGGCGACGTCACTGCCGTGCAACGCGCACTTGCGCGCCAGCCAGCCAGGCAGGCAGGAATCCAGGCACGAGGTCAGCCAGCGATGCTATTATTTTTGTTGTTGCTAATACAGTCGTACGACAGAAAAGCGTCTCTCTGCGCCGTGACGTAACTGCAGCGAGATCACCGCGACTCTGTTCGAGTCTATTCATGGCCGCGCACGCCGTGCAGCGTGGTTTGGTGGTGGTAGTGGCGGCGTGGGCGGAGGAGTCTTTTCACCGGTGGAGCGAGCGAGAAAGCGAGCGCGTCTCACCCCAAACCCCCTGGGGGGCTCGACGCGAGAGACCTCGGCCTGCCTCCGGTGACATCAAAGCGGCTCGCCGTGCCGCCGTGTGCTCTGTAAGCTGATGCGCACCGGGACGAACGGCAACCCCTCCCACCTGGCTCCCTCTCTCTCTCTCTCTGTCGTCTTATTCACGACACAGACAAAGATTACCCCCACACCGTGTAGCCTTAAGAGACTGTTGGGGCAAGTGGTGTTAGCGAGCGGCACCTATGAAGGCCGGCACGGCGCACGAGGGGGATGGGCGGGTGGACAGCACCACGCTCAACCGCCTTGGTCTCCCCAGCGACGATGTTTTGGTTTTGTCATACACTGCACCAGGTACTCGTTTGAGATGGAGTGTCGCTAATCGAACCCGGGCGACCTGGGGTTGTTGTAGCGCAGTGCTAAAAAAAACACTCAACATTGGTTTCCCACACAACAAAGACAAAGATCCCCACCCCCGTGTAGTCTTTACAGATTGGAGGGGCAAGTGCTGTTAGCTGGCGGCACCTATAAAGGCCGGCACGGCACACGAAGGGGGTGGTTGGGTGGCCAGCACCGCACTCGACCGATCGCCTCACTCTCCCCAACTGACGATGTTTATTTACACACGGCGTAACGAGGTACCCATTTGAGGCCGAGTCCACCTAGGGGAGGGTCCAGGACCGGTTCGAGATAATTGTCACCGGTGTTGGTGGCCGTGAGCAAGGGGATGGAACTCGGGAACCCGCCACGGTTCGCAGCGCAGCCGCGCGAACCGTGACACCACCGCACGTGGCGTGAACGCGCTCCGGTGTTCATGCGAAGTCCGTGAAGGAGGCCCCCCTCCTCAGTCTGCGGGAGTCGAGTGACAGCGCTTCGCTTGAACCATGTCCATGCCGTCTTGCGGGGTCGAGTAAGGGGGGGGGGGTGGTCATTGTGACTGGGGGCGAACCAGGAAACCCACGGGGGGGGGGGGTAGGGGGGGTCGATGAAGGTTCCCTGGCTTGGTTGTGAAGTTGGGATTGTGGTCTGGGATGTTGTCGTAGACCTAATGGACTAATTTATTTTATTTTGAGAACTTTGTTGTTGTTTGTGCTTTTTGTTTTGGTGTAATTTGTTTATTCATTTTTTCGTGCTTTGTAGTAGGAGTAAGGCTTTCATTTGCTTGGTGTGTATATGGGATTTGGTGCTCATCTATGAAATTAATATACAGCGTTGTGGGATGCTCAGTTTAACACGTAGACTTTCGCGACCAACATTATCCATAATATTGGTCACCACCCGACACAGCCAATTACTCCGGCGTGCCACGTAAACAAAGCATGCCAATTCGTTACGAGTACAGCACTAACCGGTGTGTTGGAGAGTAAACCAACAACATTTACAAATTCGAGCACGACGTTTCGCCAGTAATAACAACGAGCATCATCAGGCGATAGCCAGATAATGCTGTTTGGCATGGATGACGCTGCTATATGAAATGAAAGTATTATTATCATGAGATGTGTGTGTGTGTGACTGGAACGAACCAGGAGCCAGGGCCCTCTGGGGTTGACGATGACGATGAGATGGGTCTCACTGAAAATGAGCCGGGTGTCCGGGTTCATAGCGCGGCGCGCTAACCACCGCGCCACCGCTCCTCACCCCCCGGATGTATGCTATTGATTGCATTCCATGCAATGTCTCGCCCCCACAGCAGCAGCAGCAGCAGCAACAAAGACAAGACAAAGATCCCCCGGATAGCCGATACAGACTCTTGGGGCAAGTGCTGTTCAGCGAGCACCAATGAAGGCCGTATCGCCACGCGAGGGGCGTGGTGTGGCAAGCGAGGGGCGTGGTGTGGCAAGCGAGGGGCGTGGTGTGGCAAGCGCCACGCCCGGCCACCTTTGTCTCTCCACTGCTGACGATGTTTACACGGTCCGTACCAGGTACTCATTTAGATATTCGCGATCTTGGCCCGTGAGCGGGAATGGGTGCTGCGCTAAGCGCTACGCTACCGCCTCCCCACTCACACGGCCCCTCTCTCCCTTGCTCCTCCACCGCGCCCGCCCCCATCCTCGATGGCGTGAAACCCAAACACAAACCACTCACACGGCGAACCTTGACCCCCGTGGCAACAAGCGAACGGACTCAATGGACACGCGCCACGTCTGCAATGTTTGGTGGCTTAGGTGCTTTTTGGTGCCGTCATGTTCCACGTTGTTTAAAACGGAGCGAGAGAGCGTTGACTCATTCTCCTCCGCTGCATCGCAACCCCACCCCACCCACCATGCCCCCCCCCCCCCCCCCACAGTTTTAACATTAGCACGGTTTGCAACTACGTACGGTGCGAAAGAAGTTCAACGTACAGTGCATACGTACGTGCCGGAGCTTCCCTTCCAAAGCGTCGTGATTTATTTTATTTTATAACCCACGTGACTTTAGCGAAAGAACCAAAGAGTATGGATTCCTGCAGTCACGAAAGCTTCAAATCAAGATAGAAATAAATAATGCGCGTCGGTTACCATGTGAATAGCCCAAGCGGCAATGGATACTCATTATAATTTCTATTCATTCATTAACCCCCCCCCCCACTTCGCACGTGAAGGACTCAAAAGTGACGTCATCACATCTAACCCTCTATTTAAGGAATGAAACAGGAGGCTTTCTCCATAAATCTGGCTCTCCGCCTGATGATGCTAGTTGTAATTACTGGCGAAACGTCGTGCTCAGATTGTAAATGTTGTCGCTTGGCTCTCCAACACACCGGTGTTGCTGTACTAGCAACGAATTGGCCAAGTTCTGTTCACGTGACAAACCTTTACTAATTGGCTGTGTCGGGTGGTGGCGGATTTAACGACACATTTATATATTTATCCCCCTCCCCCCCTATAGTATGGAGAAAGAAATAAGTTACCCGGATGCATGGAACGCGAGAACGCACAAACCGAAACCCGCCTAGGACCAGGGAAGGAAACCTGCACGTGGCATGGATGTTGAGAAGAGGTTTTCCCCTTTTTTCCCTGGCAACAAAACAGCGGTGTTAAGATTTGTAAACACCAAACTGAGACATTTTTACAAGGAATCATGTCTGCATTAACCACAATACTTGTGGTCAAAAATGCAAACAAAAAACGCTCTGACAATATATGCATTATATTCTTGGTTCTTTCGGTAAAGTCACGTTGAAGGGAAACAATAAAGTAATAAAATATATTATTGTTTTATCCATATTTTATTATTTTATTGTTTCCCTTCAACGTGACTTTACCGAAAGAACCGAGAATATGAATCACTGCGGTCACGAAAGCTTTAAATCAAAATATATGCATTGTCTTTGAAACTGATTGTTCTACACCACAGACGGCTTTCTTCGTCTCAAAACGGTGTTAGACCAGAGGATGTCAAAAGGCGTACAGACGAGGCATGAATGTTGTTTGTTCAGACCCGGAGTTCTCAACCCGCTGTCGTTGGCGAATTGCTGCCGTTGTCCGTCGCGACCACAAAGGGACATCGTCCGGCCCCACCGGTCTGACCGCTTCGACGCAGGTAACGTCACCCCCCCCCCCCCAGATCTCCCTCGCAACGGCAGTGAAATTAAAACTAATCTCAACTTTGTATTTTGTATTACCAGATGAGGAATGCCCCACTGAGCGATGTAGCTGTTTTGGTTTTTGTTTGTTTCAGAAGCCACCTGGCCATCACAAATGATACCTCAAGGAAAGTGGATTTCATTATCATCGTCACGTGGAAATGTTTTGCGGCCAAACGCTCAGCACGCGCGATGCTGACTCTCAATGAGGAGGGAAAACCCGGAGAACCCGGAGCAAAATCCACGCGCCCACGGGAAGAGAGAGAGACAGACGTGCAAACTCCAAATGAATACAGCAGGCGCCAGGGTCGGGATCGAACCCACAAACCTCCTGCATACCGGGCGAGGTAGTTAACATCTCGGCGCCCACAACGGGATGGAAACCCATGACGTCGACTCGGTGATTTGAGCCTTCATGATTATTTAATGACTAGTATTGTTGGTGACGACGACGACTACGACGATGACGTAAACATCGCCCGGAGCTGGCCCGTGTTTAATAACTTAAACGAATCGGCTCCCCCATAAAGTTCCGGCCACCGTAAAGCGGGTCCGGATTTCTGCTCTGGCTCACCGGAGGAATGAATTCCGCTGGCTCGCTCCATCGCTTTGGTTGTTCCGCGTGGAGGAGGGAGCCGCAGGAGACTGCCGGCTCACCGGAGCGTGATTAACGGGGGGGGGGGGGGGGGCGGGGGGGAGGTTTTAATCCCGGCTCCAATTCCCCTCCTCCTCCTCCTCGTGCTCTCGTTTCCACCTCGTTGCTTGGAATCAGCGTGAAAGGGCGTCCTCTCATTCCCGGCTAACGGGCGACGAGGCCGCTTTTCGAGTTTTAGCAATGGGGAATGGGGAGGAGGGGGAGGGGGGGTGTTGTAGTTAAATTAACTTGCAAGAGTTGTGCACAAGCTGCTGTTGTGTGTGTTGTTGTTGTTGTTGCTGCTGCAGCGGTGGTGGTGTAAATGGTCAGCATAGCGCGCTGGACCTGCGAGTCGGACGTTGGCCAAGTTGGACTCCATCTCCCAGCGCAGCAGTTTGAACAATGGGGGGGGGGGGGGGCGGGGGGGCAAGAATGAGCCCCGCAACCCCCCCCCCCCCACCTCTGTCCACTTCACCGCAGGTAGCCTATGGTCGACAGGTCACGTGTGGTGGGGTAAAGCGTGGGTACTCCCAAACTCCTCCAACTCATCCGCCCAGCGTGGGAAGAGCCTCGAGACGGAGGTGCTCTCTCAGCAGCGCTGCCCCTCCCACCCCCGGCGTAGCCTCTCAGCCCTCTTCCGCCAGCAGTGCCTTTGAGCACAAGCAAATTACAGGGCTGCGCCTGTGTCTCTTTAGCACGCGGGTGGCATGGCCTTCGTGCAAGGAATTAAATTCACCCTCCCCCCTCGCCCCCTTCCCAACACCCCTCGCTCCCCCCGTGGACCCAGGGCTCCAATGCAGGATAATGGGGGGGGGGGGGGGGGGGGGCATCCGTCCACGTTAATAAGTTAGATGTTGCGACAGAGCTGGGGGCGGGTGTGGGAGGTGGGTTCAATTAACGTCGTTTCCTCCCATTTCCCAAGCCCTCGCATAACTCTGCTCAATTGCACAAATTGTATCGGCGCTGTTTGTTGCTGGCCGTTCGACGTTTCCGCTGTTTGGGCCTGTGCTCAGCACTAACTACCGAAGTCGCGAGATGGGATCGAACCGGCGCCCTCTGGATTGCAAGTTCAGCGCGGTAACCGTTTCACCATTCGACCAGAGCCAGCCAGCCAGCGGTTACACTGACGGGGCCAGCCAGCCAGCATTTACACCAAAGTCAGCCAGCCAGCGGTTAGACCGACGGGGCCAGCCAGCCAGCGTTTACACCAAAGTCAGCCAGCCAGCGGTTAAACCCGCGGCCAGTCAGCCAGCGTTTACACCGACCTGGGCCAGCCCCCTATCGTCCCGTGCAACGCGCCGCACACGGCTGCATTGATCTCATTTAATTCGTGACCTGAATTTTGACCGAGGCGGTTGGTTTTGCCGTCGTTAATCCCCGGCAGACGAAGAAAAGCCCCCCTCCACCCCCCCCCCCCCCGAGCCGTCAAGGTCACGCGGAGCCGAGCGGAGAGACGACGACGACGCCGGCCGACAGATCCATCTCACGGGAAATTCCTGAGCGGCTGCGCAAGACAGGCGGGCAGCCGAGGGAAGACAAACACGGAGCAGGAGGGGCCTCTCTGAGTGTTTTATTGTCCCAAAATAAACACACGCAAACACACACATGCCGGCGTGCGTGCGCGTTACCAGTGCGCGCGTACGAGCGGTCGCATCAAAACTCGGGCGACTCGGGTCCCTGAGTCGTGATTCTCCGAAATCTGTGCGGCCGCTGCGTTTTTGTTGTTGGCGTTTCACAGCCACCGGACGATTGGGATTGAGGTGGTTCATGTGTCCTGGTCGATGAGAAGAAGTTGGGCTGGTTGGTGGAATGGTTGGTGGGCTGGTTGATGGAGTAGTTGATGGACTGGTTGATGGAGTGGTTGATGGAGTAGCTCATGGAGTGGTTGATGGAGTGGTTGATGGGCTGGTTGGTGGGCTGGTTGATGGACTGGTTGATGGACTGGTTGATGGAGTGGTTGATGGGCTGGTTGATGGGCTGGTTTATGGGCTGGTTGATGGGCTGGTTAGTGGGCTGGTTGATGGAGTGGTTGATGGAGTGGTTGATGGAGTGGTTGATGGAGTGGTTGATGGAGTGGTTGATGGAGTGGTTGGTGGACTGGTTGGTGGGCTGGTTGATGGAGTGGTTGATGGGCTGGTTAGTGGACTGGTTGATGGGCTGGTTGATGGGCTGGTTAGTGGGCTGGTTGATGGAGTAGTTGATGGGCTGGTTAGTGGCTGGTTGATGGAGTGGTTGATGGAGTGGTTGATGGGCTGGTTGATGAAGTGGTTGATGGGCTGGTTGATGGGCTGGTTGGTGGGCTGGTTGGTGGAGTGGTTGGTGGGCTGGTTGATGGGCTGGTTGATGGGCTGGTTAGTGGGCTGGTTGGTGGGCTGGTTGATGAGGGATTCCTTATTGAATAAAGTGGTGCGTATTGTACAGTACTCTCATCCGATACAGAACCCTCATCTTACCCGATACAGAACCCTCATCTTATCCGATACAGAACCCTCATGTTATCCGATACAAAACCCTCATCACATCCGATGCAGAACCCTAAACTCATCCGATACAGAAGGCCGGTTAAATTAATTAAATATTTCGCCGCTCTATCACTAATCAACTCTATCAGCTACGTAATCATCCATCGGGTCAAGTTCCAGCGTCCTGCTTTTTTTTCCCCTCCACATTTTTTTTTTACATTGATTGAGCAATTTCTCTCTCGCGCGTGAAAATGCATCAACGTCCCGCGCCAATCGACTCCCAGCTCCGGAGCGACGTCGCAAATGAACGCGCCGGCGACGCCACGACGAGAAACAACAAAGTAATAACGGTCAGAATGTCAACGTCGTTCTCGCAGTAGCAGCAGCAGCAGCAAGCAGCAGCTTTTGGCTGGCCGTCGAACAAAGACGGATCACCGCATGGCGCGGTTTCAGATGCGCTTCCGCGGCCGTCCGAACCACCCTTCCTTGCGACATTAGGAAGCCGCTGCTGGAGCTACGCACTTTTAAATCCAAATTAAAAACTCGTTTTTTTCGGAAACTGCTCGCTAGTTCGCTGTCCTTCCACCGCACCTCCGATGAGCGCGTTTCGGCTTTGTACGGTGCGAAAGAAGTTCGACATGCGTGCAACTTGTAACACCGCTGTCAGAATACGGTATTCGCTCTTCGCTGTCATAGAGAGGGGGACGACTACTTGGAGGCACCAGGACGAACCACCGACGAGCAGGTAAGGCAGCAGCAGCAGCAGCAGCCATGCGGTCAGCCGGTGCCAGATCCCCCACCCCTCCAAGCTCTGTGGTCCTTTAAATGTTAAGATGTTACTAGCCAATCAATGTACAGATGGAACAGGTGGAGTTCACATTCTTGATGGACTGCCGTTCCCTAGTAAGCCAGGGTGCATCTCCTCCTCGACGCCCACCCACGGGGAAGGGAGTTTTCGCAACATCTGTGCGGTGATCCACCAACCCCAAGCTGCTGCTGCTGCTGCGGCCACCTCCACAGCGCTGGGTCACAGGCAGCCACATGCAGCCAACGTAGCCACCTCGACGAAACATCGTTACTCAAAACAACAATAACAGCCGCAAAAATAATGACAACAACAACTAAGCAGCCGTAAATTAAAGACGTACATTTAAATAAACCGAGCGGGCGCGTGACCGAATAGCTAACAGCGACGCGCCGGCTCGCGACAGGCGATTGCATAGCACTAAGCACAATTTTAAGGCTTCTGTAAATTAAATATATATTTCAAATTGCCGTTTTGAGAAATTTGGTTCAGAAAGCAGGCAACTTGGTGCAGGGCTTAAGGGACGGGGAGAGAGAGTGTGGTGGGTGGGTGGTACGGACGGGATACAGACCATCCTTATCATCATCGTCGTCATCATCATCTTTACTGATCATCGTGGTCATCAGTCGCTGATAATTGTTTATTGGTGATTCCCGACGCAGCTGCTGGCAGTGGTGAACCCGCGCGGTTCACTTGACACAACTCGACACGTTTGTCGATGACAAGACTGTGTGTGGCCTTAAAAGGAAAACCCGTGTAATAAGTCGACGTTTCAGGCAATGAACCTTATTCACTCTACCTCTGTGTGTGTGTGTGTGCTGTGAATCAGGACCATTGCCCCAAAACGTCACCCATCATGAACGCTGTATTCTTAAGGCTCACGCGGTGTCATCGACTTCACGCCTGTAATGTTGATCGTCCTTAACGATCATTAACCTTCCCCATCGATCATCAAAGATGATCATTTAGCATGAGTCATTGCCATCATCGTCGTCATCGCTACAGTGGCGTTGCTATCAAGTGTGCAGGCGGTGCAATTGCACTGCGGCCCACGGGCCTTAGGAGGGGGGGGGGGGGGGGGGGGGGGGGTCCAGGTACCCGTCACACCTTGGTGCGTTTTTTTCCCCCCCGCGATGTTTTCCATCCATCCATCCATCAATCCCGAAGGGTTTTTGATGACATAAAACTTTCCGGGAGGAGCTGTAACAAATAATAATAATTATACGGACACGTCGCTCAACGTCGATTGTTAAGGCTCATGAAGCACGCGAGTGAGATATTAATAATTTTGTGAAGCGCCTCCCCGCCCCCACCCCCCCCCCCCCCCCCACACGCTGTAACGCGGCGTTGAGCGGTGGCGCAGCGGTGAGCGCACTGCGCCGCGAGTCCGCCGACCCGAGTCAGATCCCCGGTCACGGATAACGTCAGTGGCGAGCGATGTCTGAACAGGCCCTGGGAATCCACCGTTCACCAACATGAACCGACCGGTACGGAAACCCTGCACCACTCCCCCACCCCCACCCCCCTGACGACTGGCACGTAGCACTGGGATGCAGTCATCCACCAGTGGATAAAAAATAAGCTTCAAACGATTACTACCATTACTATATTTCTTGTAGTATATAATGGGGTCTTGTGATCCGTGCAGACCAGCCAGCCGCTAGCGGCCGCTACCATTCACCCGCAGCGTTCACGACGAAAATCGGTTCTTGAATCGATTGCTTCGGCTGGCTCTTTACGTCTCTCACACGCGGACGGACAGTCGGACACACACACACGCACACACGCAGCCGTGGTGGGGACGCGACCGACACGTGACAAACACGCGCGCACGGCACGTGGGAGTGCAATGTTACAAACTCAGAAGAATCGTCCCGGGCGAGCGTGCGGCAAAACGTCGGGACATCTCGTCGCACAGCCACGGCAACGCAGCCCTAAGCAGCTGTGAGCCCTTGACAGCCCCCGTCTCCAAGCTCCGATACCCGAGTAGTTTGTGCGTCCGTCGCGCTACACATCCGTGCTCGTCTTGGCCGCGTCCGCGATCCGCTGCCGGATCTTGCGCTTGACCGCCGACGGCACGGCCCGGACTTGCTGGGAGACCCGGCACGGACCGCGGGGCCCCTCCGCGGAGCCGGATCCGGGCCGCGACGGCGACGCGGAGCCCGGGCCGTCGCCGGAGCTCCTCGGCTCGGCCGAGCCGTCGGCGGGAAGTCGGCCCGCCGCGCCGTCCTCCTCGTCGGCGTCGTCTTCGCTCATCTCGGCGATGGCCGAGCGCTGCAGCAGTTCGCCCGGGCAACCGGCAGCCGGGTAGACGTTGGGGTAGCCGGCGGCCGGGTGACCATTGGGGTAGCCGGGACTGGCGTCCGCGTGCCCCCGCACGGCCCACGTGGGGCTCCACGCGCCGTCGCGTGCGCCCGCCCGCACGAGCCACCGCGGCGGCTCCAGCGGCGTTCCGACATCGCCGCCGGCATCGTCGTCGTCGTTGCCGCCGCCGCCCCCTCCTCCTCCTCCTCGGGCAATCTCCATCGTCGAGCACCACCGCCGATGTCCGCCGGCTCTGGTTCCGGCGGCGCCGATGCCGCGGACCTCGGACGGGTGCAGCACCAAGCGCTGGCGGTAATCGAACGCCGTCGAGGCGCCCGCAGCCTCCTCCTGTTCCGTGAGTTGGCGCCTGCCGCCCGACACGTCCAGCTCGGAGCTGGCGCGCTCCCCGCTGGCGCGCCGGCGCCGCCCCGGCAGGCGGAAGCTCTGCCGCACGAGCTCGACGCCCTCGCGCAGCCGGTGCCTCTTGGACGACGACGACCGAGCCGCGTTCCCCGGGCGCCGTCGGTCAGAGGCGCCGCCGCCGCCGCCGCCGCCGTCGTCGTCGTCGTCGCCGTCGTCGTCTTGACGGTGGCGGTAGCCGCCCCGCAGGTCCAGCGACTTGGGCAGGGAGCCGGCCCAGCTGCCGTGGCCGAGCTTGCAGATCCGTGCCACCCGCTGCTGGTACTGGGGCCTGCCCAGCTCGCCCTGCTGCCAGCCCGGGGCGCCCACCGTCGGCTCGGCCGCCGCGCCCCACCAGCCGGCCCCGCGCTGCGGGCGCAGGTCCATGGAGACGGAGGCCAGCGCGCGGCGCCGGCGCTCGCGCTCCCTGTCGGTGGACTGCTGCTGCTGCTGCTGCAGGTTTGGCGATTTCCCCGAAGAGGAGCGACGATCGCCGGCGCCGGGATGGACGTGGGGGCCGGACGCTCTCCACCGCCGCTCGTCATCGTCACCGCCGCCGCCGCCGTCGTCGCCGCCGCCGCCGTCGTCGTCCTCGCCGTCGTCGTGGTAGCGCGAGGTGTCAAAGTGAGCGATGGACGCGGGCCGCACCAGCGCAGGCAGCGTGCCGCCGGCGCCGCGGGGAGAGCGCGCCAGGTTCACGCCGCTGCCGCCCGCCGCCGAGCCCGCCGGGCCACCGACACCGTGCGCCGTCGCCGCCGGCACGGGCGACGCCGCCGCCGCGGCCGCCCCGTGCTTGTACCGCACGCTCAGGTTGGTGATGGGGCGGCCGCGGGCAACCTCCGCCGACGGAGACCCCGACGTCTCGGCAGCGTCGGACGCCTTCCTCTCGACGACGGCGGCGGAGGCGCCCGCCCCCGACGTCCTCCTCCGCGTCTTCTGCCCGCGCCTCTTCAGCAGTGCGGCGATGTAGGCGGTCGCCTTGTCGGCGCCGGGAGGCGCCGCGACGGTCGCGCTCCCCTCGTCGTCCGCACCGGCGTCGTCGTGGCGACGGCGGCGGCGGGTGCGGTCGCTCGTCGGAGGTTTGCCGTCGGGCGACTCGGCGGCGGCGGCGCCGGCGGCGGCGGCGTCGTGGTCGTCGCCGGTGCCTCGCCGGTGCAGGAATGCGGAGCTCTGCATGGCGATAGCGTGCAGCGGGCTCGGGTAGCGGTACACCTCGGAGCCGTCTCGCGAGCGCAGGTCGCGGCGGAAGCGCGGGTCGGGGTCGCGACCCGGGGCGGAGGTCACGGGGTCGGCGAGCCCGACCGGGGACGTCCGCGCGTTTGAGCCGTCGCCGAGGTCGTCTGCGGAACGAGAGGAAGGAAGATGAGACACGGAACGCGGACGAGGTGGAGCCGCGCCGGTTGTCTGCGTGGTGGTGGTGGTGGCGAGATGATCATGAGCCACTTCTGAGACCACTTCAAGTGACCTCCGGTCCGAAGGATCGAGGAACTCACACGACGACTGAGGCCTACACGGCCCGGCTTTGGCTTTCGGCGACCGCTGCTGCTGATGATGATGCTGCTGCTGCCCTGTCGTTCTTAGGAATGAGGGCAGCTCCACGGCCGACCGAGGCCTCTCCTGGGGCCTAGGACGGGCCGCAGGGCGGCGGAGACGAACGGGGAGCTGCCCCGTCGTCGTCGTCGTCGCCGCCGGCGCCACCGACGACGACGACGGTGTTGACGTCGATGGGGCGTGGGGAGCCGGCGCTGGGCCCGAGCTGGAGATGGAGCTGCAGGAGTTGGAGAGGGAGAGGGAACCGTCCTCACTCATGGAGTAGAAGCCTGTTGGGGGAGGGCGGAGGGGGCAGCAGGTGGGGTGGTGAGACGGGGGGGGGGCGACGGTGATTACGTTAGTAAACAAATAAACATTGCCGTCATCGGTGATGGACTGGGACTAACATCGGCCCGGGCATTCGTAAACACACCGGGCCAAATTCGGGATACGGGCAATTATTTAAGTTTATTTCAATGGTCTCTGCCGCGACCAGACCTAACTGCGCAGCGCTGGTAGCTAGAAGTTCCGACGTGACGATGCGCAATCCCATTGGCCCATCAGGGTCTGGGTCCAGAAAACACAAAACGGGGCCGGCGAGGAAGAAACTTTGGGCCTGGCGAACACGCGGGAGGCACGATGGCGACCGAGAGTGCAAATAAGCAACGAAGGGCACACGCTTTGGTTAGAGACGCTCATCACGCGCTGAACGCTCAGCTCAGCTCAGGCCGCGTCGTGTGTCCCGCGCTCGGCGCTCACCGGAGCTGGGTCTGCTGTCCACGTCCGTGCCGTCCGTGTCCACGCGCAGCTCGCTCAGCGGCCGCTCCAGAGCGCACGGCTTCCCCAGTTCACACTGCTGGGAGGTGGAACGCGCACGCACGCACACACACACACGCACGCACGCACGCACACACACACACGCACACACACACACACGGGCAGCTGCTGGGTTAATTCCATACCTCACGACGGGTTTGCTGGTGGTGGGCAGATAACACGCGAAGTCAGACGGGTCAAGTTTTATGCTCTTCTGTACCACGCGCTGTTTGCCGGCAAACACAACCGGATAAAGATTCCCCCCTCACCCCCCCCCCCGTATAGCCGTTATCAGACTCTCGTGTGCAAGTGCTGTTGGCGAGCACCTATGAAGGCCGACACGGCACACGAGGGGGTGGGCAGCCGGCCGGCTACCTTTGTGTCCCCGATACCGATAAACACAGCCCCACCAGGTACCCAATTAAGGCTGAGGCGACCTAGGGGAGGCCCAGGACCACCGCTCCCCCCACCCCACGCACACACACTAAGCACTCCACACAGTGCTGGATGCTGTTCGGTGGCTTACAGGCAACTTAAGTAAACCGGCTTGGTGTGTTCGTGTGTGTGTGTGTGTGGGGGAGCGGTAGTGTAGCGGTTAGCGCTACGCTGCGCTACGAATCCGACGACCCGGGTTCGATTATCGCCCGCGGCCAACACCCGGTGACGATTATCTGAACCGGTCCTGGGCCTCCCCTAGGTCGACTCGGCCTCAAATGAGTACCTGGTGCGATGTGTTAAACATCACCACGAGGGAGACAAAGGCGGCCCGGGCGTGGTGCGTGCCACCCACCCCCTCGTGTGCCGTGCCGGCCTTCATAGGGTGCTCGCTAACAGCACTTGCCCCTACAGTCTGTTACAGGCTATACGGGGGATCTTTGTCTTTTTTTGTATCCACGTGTGTGTGTATCCACGTGTGTGTGTATCCACGTGTGTGTGTGTATCCACGTGTGTGTGTGTGTATCCACGTGTGTGTGTGTGTATCCACGTGTGTGTGTATCCACGTGTGTGTGTATCCACGTGTGTGTGTATCCACTTGTGTGTGTATCCACTTGTGTGTGTGTATCCACGTGTGTCTGCGTGCTCTAAGCAATGTGTGTATTCGCGTTTGTATTCGTCCGCTTGATGCGTCACGCGCGCGCGCGCGCGCTCATCAATGTGTATTCGCCCGGTGAGAAAATCCCATTCCCCCCCTAGGTCGGCTCAGCCTTAAACGAGCAACGGCCCCGGAGTGGCGCCTTCGACGTCCAAAGGCGCCACGAGGATCCTGGCGCGCCGCTTGCGGCCTTCAAAGGTTTGCCGGCAGCAGCCTGTGAAGACTGCACCGGGGGGGGGGTGGTGGTGGTGGGGGGGTGGTGGTGGGGGGGTGGTGGGGGGGGTGGTGGTGGTAGTGGTGGTGGGGGGGGGTGGTGGTGGGGGGGGGTGGTGGTGGCGGGTGGTGGGGGTGGGGTGGGTTGGGGGGGGGGGGTGGTGTGTGTGTGGTGGTGGGGGGGGTGGTGGTGGTGGGTGGTGGTGGGGGGTGGAGATGTTCGTCTCCTTGACGTGAGCGTGGTCCGCCTGGCCGTTGCTAACGCAGAGAGCTCCCTCGTCGTCAGGTGGGGGGTGGGGATACAGGTGGGGGTGGGTGAGGGGATACAGGTGGGGGGTGGGTGAGGGGATACAGGTGGGGGTTGGGTAAGGGGATACAGGTGGGGGTGGGTGAGGGGATACAGGTGGGGGGTGGGTGAGGGGATACAGGTGGGGGGTGGGTGAGGGGATACAGGTGGGGGGTGGGTGAGGGGATACAGGTGGGGGTGGGTGAGGGGATACAGGTGGGGGTGGGTGAGGGGATACAGGTGGGGGTGGGTGAGGGGATACAGGTGGGGGTTGGGTGAGGGGATACAGGTGGGGGTGAGTGAGGGGATACAGGTGGGGGTGGGTGAGGGGATACAGGTGGGGGTTGGGTGAGGGGATACAGGTGGGGGTGGGTGAGGGGATACAGGTGGGGGGTGGGTGAGGGGATACAGGTGGGGGGTGGGTGAGGGGATACAGGTGGGGGTGGGTGAGGGGATACAGGTGGGGGTGGGTGAGGGGATACAGGTGGGGGTGGGTGAGGGGATACAGGTGGGGGTTGGGTGAGGGGATACAGGTGGGGGTGAGTGAGGGGATACAGGTGGGGGGTGGGTGAGGGGATACAGGTGGGGGTGGGTGAGGGGATACAGGTGGGGGTGGGGGAGGGGATACAGGTGGGGGTTGGGTGAGGGGATACAGGTGGGGGTGAGTGAGGGGATACAGGTGGGGGTGGGTGAGGGGATACAGGTGGGGGTGGGTGAGGGGATACAGGTGGGGGTGAGTGAGGGGATACAGGTGGGGGTGAGTGAGGGGATACAGGTGGGGGTGAGTGAGGGGATACAGGTGGGGGTAGACGGACCCTGTTCTCCCGGAGTTGGGGCTGGAATCGGGGAGAGCGATAATTGAGGTAAGGCGTGGCCCCGACTGATAGAGAACAGGGCCAGAAATTAAACTATAAAATATACGAATGCGATTCACAAGTTAGGTACAAGAATGTGTATTAGTACAGGTACTGTACCTCACACAGAGCCAATGCAGCGCGTTTGTATTCAAGAGGCCGGGAACGCCGAGATAAGAAAAAAAATGCGCAAAGAAGCATGCGTGATGTCGCATGTACAAGGGAGCCTTCATCCAGCAGTGGATAGACCACGGCTCGTGATGATGTGGCAAACCAGCTCCCACTTCACCCGCACATTAGCGACACGTGGATCGATATCGCGCGGTGCCTAGCCGCCTCTCTCTTCCCCCCCCAACAGCTTTCCACTTTGCTAATAATCGAATATTATGGCAGGACAGCGGCATTACTGAAGCCCCGTATAGAGGCCAGGTGCAGTTACACTTTGTGCCGCACAGAGACAGCTGCCAACGGGGGTGCCCCTTTCAATCGTGTTGAGATTGATGACATGTTGAGATGTAAAGCGCTTTCAGACGCCCCGACGTATAGGAGGAGGAGGGGGGGGGGGGGAAGGGGTGGGCCATCTCTATCAATAACAAAATCATCATCATCAACATTGATCAATAAATCATCGATAAACCCTGCAAATCGGTTGGATGTCAGTCGTCGTCTGCCGCAGCAGCGGCAGCAACAGTGCCGAACGGAGGACTCGCGAAGACTCTCACCCCGCGCGTAGCCTCACGCCCGGTTGCATTACAATAGCGTAGCAGCCGCCCTTCTCCCGTCATTAATTTAAATCCAAATTAATTAATTGGTTTTGTCGTTCAACATTTTGGTTTCTGTTACCAGGTAAGGCACCACTTAGCTACATAAACGACCTGGCCACAAATGAGAGCCCGACGCAGTCGCCTCTCCATCACGTGGAAATTTAGCAGCAGGCCAAATCCGCTAAAGGCGTGCTCCTAAATGTGGAGGGGGGAAAAAAAAACCCGGGGGACGCGGAGGAAAATCCACACGACCACCGGGAGAGAGACACCGCAAACTCCAAATATACAGCAGCAGCAGCAGGCGTCAGGGTCGGGATCGAACCCACGACCTCCTGCATACCGGGCGAGGTTGTTAACATCTCATAGCCACCGTGATGATGAGAGAGAGACGCAAACTCCAAATATACAGCAGGCGTCAGGGTCGGGATCGAACACACGGCCTCCTGCATACCAGGCGAGGTAGTTAACATCTCCTAGCCACCGTGATCATGAGAGAGACACGCAAACTCCAAACATACAGCAGGCGTCAGGGTCGGGATCAAACCCACGACCCCCTGCATACCGAGCGAGGTTGTTAACATCATCGTCATCATCGCCGTCGTCGTGGCTTTTGGAAATCCCTTCGCGAATGAATGGATGCACACCCAATGAATGCCAGTGTTGTTCTAAACAAACACTGATTGTTTACGCAATCTTGGAATGTTATCCTTAATGAGCCCCATTAACGGCTGGGTGTAGGTGGAGCGCATTCATTAAAATTGGGTGTATGTAGATGCTCCCTCCCTCTCTGCCTCTCTCCTTGGATAGCTATAGAGAATTGTGAAGGTTAAAAGTTGGGTAAACATGTCCAGGCTTGTTGAGATGCCGATTTATCTGGATTATAAGACGCACTTTGCCTCACCCCCCTCCCTGCCCTGTGTTGTTCTCTGCTGCTGTTGTTGTCGTTGTTCAAAAGTTTTGTAAACATTCACAATGCACAGCCAGCGACAATTCCCGGGGTCACAACTGGAGAAAGATCCCACCAAACACACACAGAACACATACAGAACACACACACACACACACAGAACACACACACAGAACACAAACACAGAACATACACACAGAACACACACACACAGAACACATACACAGAGAACACATACACACAGAACACACACACAGAACACACACACACAGACAGAACACGCACAGAACACACAGAACACACACACACAGAACACACACAGAGAACACACACACAGAGAACACACACACAGAGAACACACACACAGAGAACACACACAGAACACACACACACAGAACACACACAGAGAACACACACACAGAGAACACACACACAGAGAACACACACACAGAGAACACACACAGAACACACACACACACAGAACACACACACAGAGAACACACACACAGAGAACACACACACAGAGAACACACACACGGAACACACAGAACACACACACACAGAACACACACACACAGATAACACACACACAGAGAACACACACACAGAGAACACACACACGGAACACACAGAACACACACACACAGAACACACACACAGAACACACACACAGAGAACACACACAGAGAACACACACACACGGAACACACAGAACACACACACACAGAACACACACACAGAGAACACACACACACAGAAAACACACACACACACAGAACACACACACACAGAGAACACACACGACACACGTCCAATCACATTGCGGGTGTTGGTCGTGCAAAGCCACAACAACAACAACGGAGCGATGGCGAGCACAGGGGAGTTGACATAACGGGGTGGGGGGGGGGGCACGTGACCGGGTTCACAGATCATTATAATCCTCCTTTGTGTTGGCCATGCGACTGACCACAATTGTGAATTATGCCAAACAAACCCAAAAGAGAAAAGCGACACGAACTCTCTCATAAAGCCCTCTCCCGCCGTGACCAGCAGACCTCGGACAATCGGCGTTTGGCTCCCGAACATAAAACTACTTTTCCATCACAACCCTTGGTCACACTGCACAATGGAGACGTCACTGTTACTACTATCACAGCGCTTCAGCACCACGCAGTGCGTAACACATCTTCGTGCTCTGAAGAAGGGCCGTTATCCGAAACGTCGCCTGTTAATATTGTTTCATTGTAGTTAGCAATTCAACATCACGCTGCACATTATCACATCGTCACGTGTCCCGTCATGCTCCCCATCATTACAACACACCACGAAACCTCCATCGCACTCCCCGTCAACGCAATATCCACACTCCCCGTCGTCATTAATCCCAGCACCACATCATCGTCACGCTCCGCATCGTCACGCTCCGCATCGTCACGCTATTGGCTGGCCGTCGAACAAAGACGGTCGATCGCCTCGCGCGCTTTTCACGTGGTGCTTCCGCGGCCGTCTGGAACGCTCTTCCTTGCGAAACGAGGAAGCCACTGGGAGCGATGCACTTTTTAAATCATCCAGATTGAAAAGTCGTTTCTTCAGAACGTTTTAAAGTCTGTTGTCCTTCCCCCCCCGGCAACCTCGGACGAGCGCGGTTGGCTTTGTACGGTGCGAAATAAGTCCAACACACACACGTCACATCATCACGTATCCCGTCAAACTCCCCATCGTCAGAACACACAATCACATTGCCCATCATCATCATCATCCCATCAGCGCTCAACAACAAACCTCCCCCCATCACACGCCAGCCACCAGCTGGGTGGTGCTTCGCCCCCTTCAACACCGCCACTCAATCACAGGCGGCGTGGAGGGGCTGAGTGGTGGGGGGTGAGTGGTGGGGGGTGAGTGGTGGGGGGTGATTGGTGGGAGGTGATTGGTGGGGGTGAGTGGTGGGGGGTGAGTGGTGGGAGGTGAGTGGTGGGGGGTGAGTGTTGGGGGGAGAGTGGTGGGGGGTGAGTTGCGGGGGGTGAGTGGTGGGGGGTGAGTGGTTGTGCTGTGGCCGATTTTAGGTGGACAAAGTAAAAACGGCGACTAATTATTTCAATGAAGATGACAATTAAGATGACGAAACACTCTCACAACACTCTCTCATGTGTACTCGGACACACGCTTTCGTCACTCACGGGGTAAAGCCCATTGAGCTCTGTGTGTATGTGTGTGTATATGTGTGTGTATGTGTGTGTGTATGTATGTGAGTTGAACTTCTTTCGCACCGTACCTAAGCCAACCGCGCTGATCGGAGGTGCGGGCGGGGGGGGGGGGATGCTGCTGGCTCAGGAAGCGACCTTGGCCACAAGTGACAGCTCACCGGGGTGGCTCACGGCGTGCGCGCGTTATCATCGGCCACGGTCGGTCCACCTTTGTTTTTATCGCTCCGTCTCCTGTTTGGAGACGGCTTCTCGGGACCTGGCTTGCTTCAATCCTTCGGCTGCCACCGAGTTTGCTCGTCTCGACCAAGGGGGGGCACTATCATCCATTCCTGGCGACGTGTCCGGACTTGGCTCTCCTCTTCACTCTTCTACTCTCTCTCTCTCCTCTCTCTTCCATCTCACTTCTCCTCTCTCTCTTTCTTCTCCTCTCTCTCTTTCTTATCATCTCTCTCGCGTCTTCTCCAATACACGAGTTCCTCTACCCGTCTCTCGGCGTATGTATAGATGTTGAACTTCTTTCGCACCGTGCGTAGCCAACGGTGCTAATCGTAGGCGCGGTGCGAACATGCACGTTGCTCATTATCTCTCTCTCTCTCTCTGTCCAGTTGTTGTTCCAACTTCTCTTTGTCAATATCCGTGTCTTCCATCCGTATATGAAACATTATCCGTCGACGCTACTGGCGCTGGCCATTATGGCACGAGCAATGCTGACAACGCAAACGTCTTAAACTCAACACGTTCGTCGCCTTCAAGGGTGAGAACATTGAGATGGCAGGCGACGTGTCGGGTAACGGCCCTTCAGCAGTCCCCTACCATTGTGTCACGAAGCCCCAGAACTCCATCGATGATTTTAGTCTCTCTCGTTCGGCAAGGAATATTTACAGCGGTGCCCCCCACCCCCCCCCCCCCCCCCCCACCCCCAAGTTTCCCTTCGCACGTTTAAGCTGGCGAAACGTCGTACTCAGATTGTAGATGTTGTGGATTTGCTTTCCAACACACCGGTGTGCTGTACTCGTAACGAATTGGCGTGTTCTGTCGACGTGCCAACCCTTACTCATTGGCTGTGTCGAGTGGTGGCGGGTTTAACGACACATTCATATATTTACGCCATCTAACCCCGCAAAAAAAACTGTATTATGGATGATATTGGTGGTCGCGAAAGCCTGCCACGTGTGAAACTGACTTAAGCCGTGGTTCCGTTTGATTTAGTCACTGTCCGCACCTTCCAGTAGCACGGTTGGCCACGGACGGTGCGAAAGAAGTTCAACCCAAACACAATTAACATCATCATTATCATGCCTTGCGCACATTTCCTTCGTATGTTGGAAAATGAATGACACAAGCCCCAAGCAGTGCCACTGTGGCCATGCAACCAAAGCTACGGACCGCAGAGTAAATCCACAGAGACACGCAGTGGCACGGAGAGTCTCGTATACAGAGATGCGCAGAGACTCGCAGAGATACATATAAACAGAGATGCATTCAAGATAAGCCACAGCGTCGAGGATGTGGCCATGCACCCCAAGCTATGAACCGCGTGAGTAAAATCCACTGCGGACTGCGCTCCCTCAACGGAGGAGGTGGAAACAGCGACACGACACGAATTCTCTCTCTCTCTGCTGAAGCCCTCTCTTGTCGTGTCCAGCAGCAACAGAGCTCGACATTGGTTGACATCGAGCTTCCTGGACCATGTCGCGTGCTGCGTCAATCGCGCGCGAGAAGAAAATGCCGACCCGTGCGTGAGAGAAGTGAGCACACACACGCGCTCACGTCAATGCCATATGCGCGCCCCCCTTCTCTCTCTCTCACACACACGCACTCGCCCGTGTAGCCCGGCCTTCCTTCCAAACACGATCTTCCTCCACGCTTACAAGGGAGAGCGGTGGCGCAGCGGTTGGCGCAACTGCGCTGTACGAATCCGCTAACCCGAGTTGGGATTCCTGGCCCCGCGGATGTCATCTGAAGTGGCGGAGTGCGCTAAGCACTGCACCACCGCTCCCACTTTATCCTCTGCACACACAAAACACAACTATGCAAGAGACAAAGATCCACCGTATAGCCTGTAACAGACTGTTGGGGGCAAGTGCTGTTAGCGAACGCCTATGAAGTCCGGCACGGCGCGCGAGGGGGTGGGTGGCCAGCACCGCGCCGCCTTTGTCTCCACAGTGGCGATGTTTACACATCGTAGCAGGTACTCATTTGAGGCTGGGTCGACCTAGGGGAGGCCCAGGACCGGTTCAGATAATCGTCACAGGGTGTTGGCCGTGAGCGGCTACGGACCCGGGTCGCCAGGTTCGTAGCGCAGCGCAGCGCTAACCGCTACACCACCGCTCCCCACGCGCAACGCCACACACACGCGCGCCCGGCTCTCTCTCCTCCCCCCCCCCGACTCGCTCACTCACTCACCAGCTGCTCCTTGATCAACTCCAGATCTCGTCCCACCGCCAGGAGCGCATCATCCGCCTTTCCGTCCGACCGTCCTGGGCCCCGGCCATAGCACCGCTCCCTCCCGCGACGCTGCGGCTGCGGCCGCTGCGTCGTCGGCCGCGTGAGCGCTTCGCGCACCCTCGCCTCCCGCTCCTCCCGCAGAAGTTGGAGTTCTCGCAGAGCCGCGACGCTCGCCTCGAGCCTCTCGCGAGCGCGAATCCTCTCCGACTCTGCCCCCCCCGTGACCACCGCCGAGGTCCAGGAGGCGGCCGGCGACGTCGTCGTCCCGTAATGGTTGGGGCCCGGATTGGGGCGAGGGTTCGGGGTGGAGGCGCCGGCGTCTCCCGATGAGGTGGAAGAGGTGGAGGAGGGTTGTGGTTGAGAGAATGCGAGGAGCTGCCAAGCCGTGGCGGTCACGCAGAGTCCCTTGGACATGATGATGATGGTGGTGGTGGTGGTGGAGGTGATGATGTCGTGTGGCGATGATTGTCCCGGCGATGTCGAGACGAAATCGTTCTTTGCTTTCGAGTCGAGAGGTAACGCGGTCGCTATGACGACGATGTTAACGACGTTTGCTGATGACAATTTGCGTTCTCACCGTGCAAAGCGACACTCGCAACACAACAACAACAACATTAAAATCCTCTCCCTCGTGCCACTCGACTGACGCGACTGGTGATGACGATCGTGATCTTACTAGAAATCACTTCAACGCTAAGAGCAACTTCAACAGCAGCTATCTGTAAGCGCCATCGCTTATTCGGCTCCCCGCATTGTACTTCACCGGCACGCGAGAGAAGCGCATCAACAACTTGATGGCGATGAAGATGGCGATGATGCCGCTGCTGCTACCAATATCGATGCATGTCCATGTACACACAAGCACGCACCAGACAGTGATTGATAGCGTGAGCCCCCCCCCTCCCCCCCACCACGCTAAGAGGAGCAGGAGCGGGGCAAGAGACGCGGTGCCGCTAGCGTCTCGAACGCGCAAAACCTCGCGCCGCGCCTCGCTCGCTCGCTCCGAGATGAGAATGAGTCGCCGATTCCCGACAGAGCTGCTGTTGTGTGTACGGAACGCGGTGTCGTGGTGGGGGCGAGTGGGGGGGCGGTAAGGGTTAGGGGTGGTTTGTTGGGAGGTGGTGAAGGGGTGGTGGGAGGGGGGCAGCCAGCCTGTCACTGGCGTCAGCCCCCGCGGTGAACATCGCTCATTGGGCAGCAGCTGCCCCTTTCGTCTCCCCCTCCTTGACCGACGCCACCCTCCCCCCTCCCTCTCCATGGCTCTGCCCGCCTCCCCCCTCTCTCTCTGGTCTCTCTCTCGCCCCGCCGTCACTGCTTTCACCTCTCCTTTGCTAATCCGGCCTTCTTCAGAGCTCCCTCTCCACCGCCACCCCCCTCCCTCCCCCTCCCAGCTCTCCTCTACCATGGGGCGGTGTCACGGCTCAGCCGTAACGCGCTCGCCGCTTGTTGCGCAGAAACTCGCGGTTCGAATCGGACAACCCTCTCCCCCACCCCACCCCCCCTGGTTAATACGCTCGGTGTATGAACCGTGATTTTACTACGCGCTGTCAGCTTCGCTCACAGGGGACGTGAGACATGTCGATGCGGTTCAGGAGCTTGATGCCAATGTCGAGGCCTTGTGCTGCTGCTGCTGCTGGTGGCCATAACCTACTGGACATCTGTGAAAAAGATCTTGATAGCTCATCGGATCCGTCCAGTACAACAGAACATTCTGATCCTGAGATGGCTTCGGGAGACAGTCCGTGTCGTGTCCCTCTTCCTCATCATCCGTCGAAGGAGCGGTTGCATGCCCACAGTGGCACTACATATATGGCTTGTCTTGAATGCATCTCTGTTTATTTATATGTCTCTACGAGTCTCTGTGCATCTCTGTATACGAGTCCCGACGTGTCACTGTGTGTGTGTCTCTATGGGTTTACTCTGGGGTCCGTGGCTTTGGTTGCATGTTCACTAGGGATCTCTATCCCTGTGTCTCGATTGATATACATGGTGCTTCAAAATTGTTTTAACACTTATACGGGGCTATCGTTTTTCATGGAAAAAGAACGGATAATAAATACACTGTAGCGTGATAACAAATGTCTAATATCTTCAAAAAGTCAAAGAGTCTCCACTTCCATTATAGAGGTTTTTTGGGGTTAGATCGTGTAAATATAAAAATGTGTCAGGGGTTGTTAGACCATACTTCACCACGCTGGTCTGCGCTGGGTTGATGAAGAGAAGGGGTGTTCAATCAAGACGTTAGGAATCGAACTTTTAAGATAACCCAGGGGGAGTGGGGAGGGGAGGATCATATCGCAATGCGCTAACCGCGGCGCCACCGCTCTTACCCCCCCACCCGACACGTGACTCGGACTCGCCGTTAAAGAGGTCCGAAAGGAGGCGAGTGATGTAGATTGAGACGGACGCGCAGACTGCGGCGAGACGTAGCGACTCATTAATTTGTTTTGTCGGCAGGTGAAAGCCACCCCATTAATGTTGTCGTCAAGAGGGATCCCATCAAAGGCCTCCCGAGACAATGGGGGTCGCGTTCCTTCATCCCCGCCGAGGCTGACTCTGTCTACCCGGCAGCGTGAGACGGGTGGTGGGGTGAAGCGTGGGTACGAAGGACGACACCCCCCCACACCCACCCACCCCCCATAGCCTTTAACAGACTGTTGGGGCAAGTGCTGTTGCTGAGCACCTGCGAAGGTCGGCACGGGGAGCGGTGGCGCAGTGGTCAGCGGACCGCACCACGAACCGGGCCACCTGCGTTCGACACCCGCTCGCCACCAATATCAGTGGCGGATATCTGAATTGGCCCTGGGCTTCCTCGAGGTCGGCTCAGCCTTAAATGAGTAACCGGTGCGCTGGGGGTGGGCGGCGGGGGGGTGAGGCTGGGAGATAAAGGCCACGACTACATCAGTGGTGACTGAACGTGGACTTGGACCGCCCTTGGATCGACTCAACCTTAAATGAGCAGCTCGTGCCGGGCGCAAAACCGTTAGAACTGACCTGGCCGCACACAATCCCGCACCTCCCTCGTGCGATCTGTGCGAGCATCATCAATAGGCGCTCGCAAACAGCCACCAACAGGGAGGCCACGGTGGCTAGGAGATGTCAACTACCTCGCCTGGTATACAAGAGGTCGTGGGTTCGATCCCGACACACCGTGTTGTCCCACCTCCGATCGCATAGCAGCACTTGGAGTGAACGCAAACCGCATAGATCGAATTTTGTGTAGGAATTCTGCTCTCCCTGGCTTTCTGCGATTTCGCGTGTATGCGGCTAACCTATTTCAACCCAAAATTTGCAATACAGAAGTTGATGGCAGCGGTGGCGCCTGCTGCTGTATATTTGGAGTTTGCGTGTCTTTCTCTCTCATCATCACGGTGGCTAGGAGATGTCAACTACCTCGCCTGGTATACAGGAGGTCGTGGGTTCGATCCCGACCCTGACGCCTGCTGCTATATATTTGGAGTTTGCGTGTCTCTCTCTCTCTCATCATCATCACGGTGGCTAGGAGATGTCAACTACCTCGCCTGGTATACAGGAGGTTATGGGTTCGATCTCGACCCTGACGCCTGCTGTATATTTGGAGTTTGCGTGTCTCTCTCACTCTCATCATCATCACGGTGGCTAGGAGAAGTTAACTACCTCGCCTGGTATAGAGGAGGTCGTGGGTTCGATCCCGACCCTAACGTCTGCTGTATATTTGGAGTTTGCGGTGTCTCTCTCTCTCCTCGTGGATTCGTCTCTGGGTGCTCCGGGGTTCCCCCCCCCCCCCCCACTCCACATTTAGAAAACGCGTTTGGAGCATTTGGCTGCTGGCAACGTCCACGTGATGTTCGGCCACTTCGTTGGGTCATCATCTGTGGGCAGGTCGCTTCTGAGAAAAGAGCTGCATAGCTTCAGTTGGGCTTTCTTTACCCGGTCAAATAACTCCAACCCAGAGCAGCCCGTGACAGCTGCCCCAGGGTCACGCGTGGGTTCCCGCGTGACTTTTACGCCACCTGTCGGGCGCAATGGGACGGTAACAACGTCACACCGAGACGTGCACTATGAAGAAGGGCCATTGCCCGAATCGTCGCCTGTTATATATGCTTTCATCATTATAAGACCACATCCGTTGTTGTTGTTGTTGTTTGGGCTTGAGCCACCGCTGCCATCAACTTCTGTATTGCAAATTTTGGGTTGAAATAGGTTAGCCGCATAGAGGCGAAATCGCAGAAAGCCAGGGAGAGCAGAATTCCTACACAAAATTCGATCTATGCGGTTTGCGTTCACTCCAAGTGCTGCTATGCGATCGGAGGTGGGACAACACGGTGTGTACTATGTGTGTACTGTGTGTGTACTGTGTGTGTACTGTGTGTGCTGTGTGTGTACTGTGTGTATTGTGTGACTACTGTGTGTCTGTGTGCTCTGTGTGTACTGTGTGTATTGTGTGTATTGTGTGAATACTGTGTGTGTCTGTGTGCACTGTGTGTATTGTGTGAATACTGTGTGTGTCTGTGTGCACTGTGTGTATTGTGTGTATTGTGTGAATACTGTGTGTGTCTGTGTGCACTGTGTGTATTGTGTGAATACTGTGTTCTGTGTGCACTGTGTATTGTGTGATTACTGTGTGTGTGCACTGTGTATATTGTGTGAATACTGTGTGTGTCTGTGTGTTCTGTGTGCACTGTGTGTATTGCGTGAATACTGTGTTCTGTGTGCACTGTGTATTGTGTGACTACTGTGTGTGCACTGTGTATATTGTGTGAATGTGTGTCTGTGTGCACTGTGTGTATTGTGTGACTACTGTGTGTGCCTGTGTGCTCTACTCGGCAGACCGCTGCCTCGCGCTGTGGATTGTGGTTTTGGGTGACCGTGCGCTCCACGCTACGCATTTTCGCTTCGTGCGCCCTTTATTTGGAACACATTTACTGCCGCATAGAGCAAGGGAATCCTGTATGAACGGGTCCCTGCATTACTCACATGCGCCTCCAGACAAAGGTCCCCCGAATAGCCTTAACAGACTATTGGGACAAGTGCTGTTAGCGAGCACCTCTGAAGGCCGGCACGGCACACGCTGGGGTGGGTGACCAGCACCACGCCTTTGTCTCCCAAGTGGCGATGTTCACGCACCGCACCAGGGTACTTATTTGAGGCTGAATTGACCTAGGGGAGTGCACAGGACCGGTTCAGATAATCATCACCGGTGTTGGCCGCGAACGAGATATCAAACTCGGGTCGCCAGGTTCGTAGCGCTGCGTAGCGCTAACCACTGCGCCACCGCTCCCCTTCTGCGCCACCAGAGGGCGCCCCAACACAGCCGGGACCACGGGTCGCTCCCCCCCACCCCCCCTCAGGTCCCCCCCCCCCCCCAAGGTCCTCTCCAGGGCTGCCCTGTGGGTGACACCGCAGGGGACTGGGTGAGCCGTGGAGTCATCGACGTGCAGGTCACGAGCGGTATGGCTGGCGGCATGTTCAGTGACTTTGCATGAAAAGGTTAACATTGATAGTTCTGCTGCTACGGGCTGAGTGGAGGGTGGTGGTGGTTGTTGTTGGTCGTGTGTTCGTAGTTGGGGGGGGGAGCGGTGGCGCAGTGGTTAGCGCTACGCTGCGCTACGAACCTGGCGACCCGAGTTTGATATCCCGCTCACGGCCAACACCGGTGATGATTATCTGCACCCGTCCTGGGTCTCCCCTAGGTTGACTCAGCCTCAAATGAGTACCCTGGTGCGGTGTGTAAACACTGCCACTCGGGAGACAAAGACGGCCATGCCGGCCTTCATAGGTGTTACTTGCAAAACAGCACTTGCCCTGACAGTCTGTATCGACTATTCGGGGGATCTTTGTCTTATCTTCTCTTTGTTCATAATGTGGTGGTATTAGTGGAGGTATTGGTAGTTGTAGGTGGTGGTGATGGTATGGGTGGTGATGGTATTGGTAGTAGCAGGTGGTGGTGATGGTATGGGTGGTGGTGGTATTGGTAGTAGTAGGTGGTGGTGGTAATGGTATGGGTGGTGGTGGTATTGGTAGTAGTAGGTGGTGGTGGTAATGGTATGGGTGGTGGTATTGGTAGTAGTACGTGGTGGTAATGGTATGGGTGGTGGTGGTTGTATTGGTAGTAGTTGGTGGTGGTATTGGTATGGGTGGTGGTGGTATTGGTAGTAGAAGGTGGTGGTGATGGTATGGGTGGTGGTGGTATTGGTAGTAGTAGGTGGTGGTAATGGTATGGGTGGTGGTGGTGGTGGTATTGGTAGTAGTAGGTGGTGGTGGTGGTGGTAATGGTATGGGTGGTGGTATTGGTAGTAGAAGGTGGTGGTGATGGTATGGGTGGTGGTGGTATTGGTAGTAGTAAGTGGTGGTAATGGTATGGGTGGTGGTGGTGGTATTGGTAGTAGTAAATGGTGGTAATGGTATGGGTGGTGGTGGTATTGGTAGTAGTAGTTTGTGGTGGCAGCCTATTCAGGGCCAAGTGCGTGGCTCGCAGAGGGCATTTCAGAACGATTGATGAAAAGTTGCTGCACTCCACTCTGCTCTAGGGTCTCCGCTGGTCGCCTTCACTGCTGCAGAAGGTGGAAAGGTGGGGGGGGGGGGGCGTGCTCTGTCCGACTGCACGCCAGAGTTTGTTTACCAAACCCCCGGCCGTGCCGATGAGACCTCAAAAGGTCAAAACCACACTGGCCCTCCGTTGGCTCGCTTCAACCAAATGGCGGTGGAAAAAAAATGCAACGAACGGTCACTCGGGCCGATGACATAAAATAAGAATTAGATCGCCTACTTCGTTCGTGTATGAGAATAGGTTTTACCCTTTCTGGCCATAATAAAACAGTTGCGTTAAGATGTTAAAACACCAAACCGAAACATTTTGCAAGGCATCATGTATTGCATTAACCACATATACTTGTGGTGAACATGCAAACAAACAAAAGCATGCTCTGACAGTATATGATGGATGCATTGTCTCTGAAACTGATTGGTCCACACCAGAGACGGCCTTCTTTAGAGCCTCGTCTCACACAGTTTTAGACCAGTGGACGACGCCGAAAGGCGAACAGCACAAAGACAATGCCACTATGAGGACATTGAGAGCTCAGGGTGACCAGCGACATCATGCCAGTATCAAAATATTTTTTTTATATACTGGCAAGGGAGGTCCCATGATTCGTCCGTGTATTTAATTCAAGGCCGTAGCTATGGAGTCAACATTGGGGGGGACCAAATCTTACAGGCGGTCTGGGGGTCCCCCCCCAGAAAATAAATAAATCTAAATTTGGAAACTCATTTCCTGCCTAGTATATTTAAAAAATTCACTAACACATAGGATGGACTTTTTAGTTATTTTTTACAATAATGTCAAATTGTGTATCGTATTACATTGCTCTGTTTTTTTTATTTTTTACCTTTTATTGTTTCATTGTATGTAATGGCAGAGATTAGGGATTAATAAAGTACAACCATAACTACACTCATATAAACATGTATCTTTTTATATTCTTAGCTCTTTCGGTAAAGTCACGTTGAAGGGAAACACTAAAATAATAAAATATATATAAAACAATAAAAATTATCACGACGTTTCGACCATAACACAAACGGTCGTCATCAGGTTTATGTTATGGTCGAAACGTCGTGAGAATTTGTATTGTTTTATATATATATTTTATTATTTTATTGTTTCCCTTCAACGTGACTTTACCGAAAGAGCTAAGAATATGAATTACTGCAGTCACGAAAGCTTTAAATCAAAATGTATCTTTTTATAGCAATATATTGGGGGGGGACATTTTGAGCATCTTTGAATATTATAATTACGGCCTTGATTTAATTGCCTATAAATTGCCCGCGGTGGCCTGCGATCCAGCAGTGGATCGACCATGGCCGATGAAGAATGCTGCATAATTGCACGACGCCACGGGTTTTTTTTGTTTTAACTGTAAACATTGTCGTGTTTATCGTACGGCGGTGGCTGGCAGAGAAAAAAATGTGTCGCTTCAACACAAACTATTTTAACACAAACTATTTACTACGACTCTTTGAGAGTTCACGCGGTCGCTACACCCAAGTACTTCATAGTGGAGGATCGGAGGGGGGGGTGAAGGGAGAGTGGAGCTATCAGGATAGGAGGGACGACTACTCCCAGATAGTTCGGTCTGGCTGGAGAGAGCCATCGGAGAGATCAGCAATGTGAGTTATGGGGAGAGTGCAGGGGGAGAGACTGATGACTCCATCATTCGCACATTGAGCAGAAACACAGATAATAAAATAGACTTTGTTTTGTGTGTAAGCCAGACACCGTGTGGAGGCCACAGTCATCGTAGCTATCACAATCGTTCATTGTTGGACCCATCCCTGAATTAATATGGTTTGACCATACTTCACCACGTCGGTCGCACTGGATTGGCGAAGGGTTTGGGTTTGTGGGGAGTGGGGCGGGGAGGCACACTCCCGGTCGCCTTTGTCTCCCCGGCGCTGCTGTTTTACACAAAGCACCAGACATACTCTTTGGTTCTATTCGGTAAAGTGACGTAGGTAAAAAATAAAATAACAAAAATCACGACGTTTCGGCAACAACACAAGTGGCCTTCATCAGGTGTGTTGTGGCCGAAACGTCGTGATTCTTGTTATTTTATTTTTTACCCACGTGACATTACCGAATAGAACCAAAGAGTATGGATCCTTGCAGTCACGAAAGCTTCAAATCTAGAAAAGCACCAGACACTCATCTAAGGCTGAGTCGATCTACACGCAGGGGCTTATCACTGCCCACTGATGGCAGGAGGTTCACTCCGCCACTCACCGCTCTGCGCTCACGACATTGTACATAGATACCCGTCCCATACCTGTCCCTGCACGTACACACATAAAAGTTTTACATATATTTTTTTTTACATATCCCATCTGCCTAGGCGGCCCGTGTTGTGGTGGATAATAGCATCAGCACTGCTTCAGCAGAGATTATCTGGGTGTAATCTATCGCGAGGCGAGTTACACTGCAGGAGAATAATGTTCGCAATGTTTATCCTTGTCCTCGTTTGACGTGCAGTTGTTTTTGTTCCGATATTTGTGGGTTTATAACATTGGTGACCCAGGTCACGATTGCAAATGAACGAAACTATTTTAACGATTTAAACTATTGTTATTTTATTTTACCAGATAAGGCTCGCTGAGCTATAGAGCCGGGTTTTTTTTTCAGAAGCGACCTGGCCACAAATGAAAGCTCAACGAAGTGGCTTATCAGGTGCAAATATATTGCAGCCAAATACTCTAAACGCACATTTCTAAGTGTGGAGGGGGAAACCGGAGGACCCGGGGAAAAATCCACGCGACTTCGGGGAGAAAGAGAGACACGCAAACTCCAAATATACAGCAGGCGTCAGGGTCGGGAATGAACCGGCGACCTCCTGCATACTAGGCGAGGTAGTTAACATCTCCCCACCGACGATACCCATCCTGCGGCTGGTTTCTTTCTCACACTGGTTCAACAAAATAGACTTCAACCTTAATAAATAAAACGTGATTGTCTATTTAGCCCATCATCCTATTGGCTTGTCCAGCGGCGTCAGCCTCGCTCAATAGATGCCGCTGGGTTGCGAGCAGTTTTTGTTGCTGCTACAAATTGTACATAATTATCTTATGATTATAATCAACGCACAATTCATTGCAGATACGGCGCATGCATTATGATTGCGTATAATTATGACTGTGATTCATATGCAATCAATTTCGTTTCCCATTTGAGGTTCAAAATAAACTTCAAATATCTCGTGACGCTGTTGGGTTTTATGTATGAACACACAAACAATTACAAGATGACTCAAGTGCATTGTATAGTAATCAATGACTGGGACGTAAGATGCACACACATAATGCACATCATCATTCCAGCATGATAATCATGATTGATCATCATCATCATGATAATCATCATTGTTGATAACATAATTGCACACACAGCCACAAACGCGTGCGTTGTAGAAGCCTACATTCCTTTAGCGGCCAATCCGGTTTGAATTAGAGTGAGTTGGTATTCATTCATGGACCAACTTGATGAACTGACGTCGGTTTAAGTGGTATGCTTGTGTCTTTGTATGTACGGGTGTGGGTGGATGCATGCATTTGAATGGGCACCTGCTATGATGTGTATGGGCGCCTGCTATGATGTGTAAACTTCAGCACTGAAAGGGAGACAAAGGTGACGGGGCGTGGTGCTGGCCACCCACCCCCTCGTGTGCCCTGCCAGCCTTAATAGGTGCTCGCTAACAGCACTTGGCTCAATATTCTATCAACCGTTATTTGGGCCTGTATCTGTGGGTGTGTGTATTTGTCTTTCTATGTGCGTTCGTGTGTATGCGATTGTCTGTATGTGTATATTACTTTAAAGTATAAGTGGGCGCGTGTATGTGTAGGTTTGTTGGTATGTATGACAACATGTTGTGTGTGTGTGCCTACGTGCATATGCGAACGTGCCCGTGTACATTTGAGGCCGTGTGTATTTTTGGCAATTGTGTTTTTACGTGTGTGTGTTCGCGTGCGTGTGTGTCTGGGCGTACGTGAGCAAGAGGGCGCGTGTGGGTGTGGTTATACTCCTACCCCCACCCCCCACACACACCCCCACAACATTACTTATAGAAGCCGCTACACAACCCAGCCGATATAATCACTCGCTTTTCCACGTGTTGCGGAACGCTCCGTTACGCCGCCCACCCACAGCCACCCGTTCTCGCGTCCCTCCTTCCACCGGCCCAAGTCACAAACCACTAAGCCAGCCAGATAGCTAACCCTACCATCCTGCCAGTTAGCCTAGCCCACCGGTCAGTCGGCCAGTCCGCTAGCTAGCCCCACACTACATTGCAGCCGGGACAATCCACCAGCAAAGCCACTCCAACAGTCGGCCAGGTAGTCCAGCAGACAATTCGCGGGTCACACCGACCGGCCAGCCAGACAGTGACCCACCGAACCGGCTCGCCACCGCAACCCATCATCATCTTAGCGCGCCCACCCCTCCCCTCGAACCTAAACGGCAGCAAAAACGGCGTCGACCACGGAGTGTCTGAAGCGGGCGAGGCTCGCGGGGGCATGTCGCCTGTGCGCCATGGCCTCGGTGGAGGCCAGCCAGGGCCACAAGCCGTTCAAACAGCGCAAGAGTCTGGGTGAGTTCGTGATCCCGTACGGGCCCTGGGCCACCTCGCTCCCACGTGTCCGTCCGCGGGCCGTGGGGAATGGAAGTCGTGGACCGCGTTGGGACTTCCCCCCCCCCCTCGGTCCCCCCCATCCCCCCCCTCCCCATCTCGCGCGCCTTACCTGGCTCTCCCACCCCAGGTATAGGTCAACGACATTGCTACCATCACCACCATCATCGTCATCATCGTCATCAAATCGCTTATCTCTAACCGCTCATCATCATCAACGTAATCGTCATCGGCCACGATCGATCCGCTGCTGGATGAAGACCTTCCCCGAGCCACCGCTGCCGTGTTTCGCGATGGCAGCGGTGCCCCCCCCCCCCCCCCCCCCCCCCCCCAGCACGTGGCCGCGAGACGAGCGAGCGTCGTCCTCTCGCGCCATGCCGAAGCCCCCCCCCCCGCCCCCCCTTCTCGGTCAAAGTTTTTTTCCTTCGCGTCCAAGTTGCTGGCTACTACCCCCCCCCCCCCAACACGCGTTCTTCGTTTCGTCTCTCTGGATGTGGTGGCGGCGCGCGACTCGCGCGCGACTCTGCGCACTCGTCACCCCTTTTGTTCCATGGAAATGGCAACTTGTTTTTGACGGCGTCAAATAGGAATAGGTTTGCCCATTTTTGGCAATAAAAAAACAGGAGGTATTAAGATTTTTTTTTGGTTCTTACGGTAAAGTCGCGTAGGTAGAATATATATAGCACGACGTTTCGATCGCAACACAAGCGGCTCGGCCTCTTGTGTTGCGATCGAAACGTCGTGATATTATTATTTGTTTTTAATTTTCTACCTACGTGAGTTTACCGAAATAACCAAAGAGTATGGATTCCTGCAGTCACGAAAGCTTCAAATCAAGGTAGTAAGATGTTCAAACGCCCAATAGAAAGTCGATGCATAAGCTATCGAAGACGAGGCATATAAAATTATCGGATCATGTTTATTTACATGTTCACCACAAGTACTGTCGTCAATGCGGATTTTATTCCTTGCAAAAGGTTTCTATTTAGTATTTGAACATCTTGGCACCTATTTTATTGCCAGAAAATGTAAAAAAAAACTTCTCATTTGTTTCAGCCTTTATTCCATTGTGCGCTTTCGATGTTCCGTGTTTGCGGCGCTGCAGGCAAACGGAATTCGCACGGCTAAAAACTAACTACTTTGTCCACGTTGCTCAGCTGCTTTCTATTTTCATTTTCCGCATTTACTCCACGCGAGCTCTTCCACCACCACCACCCCGCCCCTCTCCTCGCTTTGATCTCGGTGCGCCTTCAATAGCTGCCCCGAGGCGTACAGCGGCACACGCGCACCGTCGGACGATCGTGGCGTGGTTCCTTGGGCACGTGGCCTTAATCGGTGTTCGCTATCGCCTGTCTGCGTGTCCTTTCAATTGGGGGGGTGTATGCATGGCGGTGGTGTAGCGGTTAGCGCGCTGCGCTATGAACCCGGCGACCCGGGTTCGATTCCCGCTCACGGCCAACACCGGTGACGATTATCTGAACCGGTCCCGAGCCTTCCCTAGGTCGACTCGGCCTCAAATGAGAACCTGGTGCGGTGTGTAAACATCGCCACTGGGGAGACGAAGGCGGCCGGGCGTGGTGCTGGCCACCCACCCCCCTCGTGTGCCGTTCCGGCCTTCATAGGTGCCAATTGCTAACATCACTTGCCCCTACAGTCTGTGAAGGCTATACGGGGGACCCCCTTTGTCTTGTTTTCCCCAGCTATCAGCTGATAGCACTTGCCTCAACAGGTCTGCTAAGGCTACAAGGGGGGTGTCTTTGTCTTTGCAGCTACCCGGAAAGAAGAGGTGGCAGGGATCCGAGCCAAGTTCCCCACTAAAGTCCCGGTCAGTTCCCTCTTGTATGCTCTCGTCATCGTCATCGACCTCGGCCACAGCACGAAGAGAGGGAGAGAGATCTATTATCTAACGTGGTGGTGGTAATTGTAGTTGTTACAATGCAGGAGGGAGATCTATCTATACATTATGCAAGTTGAACTTCTTTAGCACCGCACATAGCCAGCCGTGTTTAATTGGAGGTGCGGGAAAATATTCGTGGTGGTTGATCGGTGTTGTGGAGAGGGGGGTCTATATCGTGTGGTGGTGAGTAGTGCAGAGGGAGAGAGATCTGTGTAATGTGGTGGTGGTGAGTAGTGCAGAGGGAGAGAGATCTGTGTAATGTGGTGGTGGTGAGTAGTGCAGACGGGGGGGGGTGGGGGTGGTGGGAGAGATCTGTGGAATGTGGTGGTGAGTAGTGCAGGGGGAGAGAGATCTGTAATGTGGTGGTGGTGAGTAGCGCAGAGGGGGGGGGGGGGGGGGGGGTGGGGGGGGGGGGGGGGGGGGGGGGAGAGATGTGTAATGTGGTGGTGGTGAGTAGCGCAGAGGGGGGGGAGAGATGTGTAATGTGGTGGTGGTGAGTAGTGCAGAGGGGGGTGGGGGGAGAGATGTGTAATGTGGTGGTGAGTAGTGCAGAGGGGGGGGGGGGGGGGGTGGGGGGGGAGAGATCTGTGTAATGTGGTGGTGGTGAGTAGTGCAGAGGGAGAGAGAGAGATCTGTGTGATGTGGTGGTGGTTGTAGTTGACACGCCGAGGAAGAACGCGTGGCTTGGAAGACCTCGCACGACGTGGGCTTTGTAAATCATCCGGACGTGAGAACTGAGACGGCTTTGGGCGGGACGCGCTGCTCGATACGACGACGACGATGATGTTGATGATTGTTTCCCAATGGCTGGAGAAGCCAATGGAATGACAACCAGCGGAGGGAATGGACCCGAGATTATCAGCAGCAGCAGCCGCGGGCTGTGGGTTTCGTGAGACGGCGAGTGGGTGGCCACATAGCCGGCGTGATGTATTTGTCGGTGGCTGGGACTCAAGATTATGAGACGCACACGTACTCTTAGGTTCTTTCGGTAAAGTCACGTAGGTTATAAAACAAAATAAATTAAATCACGACGTTTAGGAAGCGACACAAGCGTCCGTCATCAGGTGGGAAAGCCACAGCAAGAAACAATTGCTGAAGTGGGCAAAATAGCTACTTGCGTTGCTTCCGAAACGTCGTGATTTTTCCTTCTTTGGTTCTTTCGGTAAAGTCACGTAGAATGAGAATAAAATAATAAATTGATAAAATAAAATAACAAAATAAAATAACACAATAATATTATTGTGTTATTTTATTTTATCAATTTATTATTTTATAATATTCTCACGACGTGAGAATTTTATTGTTATTTTATTTTATCAATTTATTATTTTATTCTCATTCTACGTGACTTTACCGAAGGAACCAAAGAAGATGAATCCTTGCAGTCACGAAAGCTTTAAATCGAAATTCGTCGTGATTGTATTTATTTTGTTTTCTACCTACGTGACTTTACCGAAAGAACCAGAGTATGGGATCCCTGCAGTCACGAAAACTTCAGATTATGAGAAGCGTATCGGGGGGTTTGCACCTCCTTGAAATGTTTGTAATTCTACTTTTATTTATACAGTGATTTTCTTTTATTTCCCTCTAATTTTCACCGATATCGTATTTTGTATTGTTGTGACTCGCTGACCTTCCCCGTACTGGACATCTGTGATAAGGGGCTTCATAGCTCATCGGACTCCCACCTAGGGAAATAAAGAGTACGATTCTGAGTTTTAAAAACAAAATAAAATCTGTGATAATAACAACCTACAACGTGTAATGAGATATGGCTATAGTGGTGTGGCGGGTTGATGCATTCGCATGATGCAAGGGGGATAGTGTGAGGAATGAGAGGTGGGGGGGGGGGGGGTGGTGTTGATGGTGTCGGTGACGTTGTGGTTGTGCCTCCCAGGTGATTGTGGAGCGCTACTCACGGGAGAAAACGCTTCCTCCTCTCGACAAAACCAAGTTCCTGGTGCCTCGCGAAGTCACCATGAGCCAGTTCGTCAGCATCATCAGGTGAGCCACACGGGGGGGGTGGGGGGTTGGTGGTTTAGAGCGAGCACCTGGAGCGGTCGTCACTTCGCCACCGACGTGAGAACAGTGGCTAGGAATCGAACTCGGCCTGCTGGGTTAATGGAGCAGTTCGTTAACCACTGCGCCACCAATCCAGATTCCTCGATCCCCCTCCCGTCCTCCATGTTCTTGGTCGGTCTTCCAATACCTGCAGCCATTTCTCAATCCACTGCTGGATGAAGGGGTGGGGGAGGGGGGGGGGGGTACCAACTCTGGTAAAGCCAGTTGCGATGTGAACGGAATCGCAGTCGCATTGCTGTTACGGGCATGCGCTATTTAACATCGGCCGCGTTTATTTTAAAGATTGCTTATTGATTTTGTTTTCTCCTCGACTGCTTCCTCCGTCCGTTTCCATCCTGGGAATGAGAAGCTCCCGTGGCTTCTGTTGGGAAGCGTCCCGTAAGCTCCACGTACTCGCCCCCCCCCCCCCCACACACTGATTTCATTCCCCCTGACTCGTGTTTCGTTCTCTTACCTCTTCGTTGTGGTCGCCACGTGGTCACGTGGTGGTGGGTGGGTGTGGCTTCGTCTATTGATGGGGCGGGCTCGCCGTGGTGTTCTGTCCCGTGGATTGGTCGACTGACTGATTGGACGACGACCAATCCGCGGCTCTCCCAGGAACCGCCTGCTCCTGCGCTCCACGCACGCCTTCTACCTCATGGTGAACGGTCGAGTCGTCCCCTCCATGGCCGCCAACATGGCCGACATCTACGTGGAGCACAAGGACGAGGATGGATTCCTCTACATGACCTACGCCTCCCAGGAGATGTTCGGCTGAGACGACGACCATGATGATGATGACGAGGAGAACCGGTCGATTACGGGTCCCTAATTCTTATATTCCTGTGATACTGAAACCTCATTTGTGTTTTTTTAACCGATGAGGTGTGGTTGTTGTGGCGGTGGTGGGTGTCTAAGATCGCCTATCTCTGTCGTTGTGGGGTGGTTGAGGTTGTTTTGTTGTTGGGGGATGAGGTTGTTGGTGGTTTTTGGCGAGGTTGTGGACCGCGTGCGAGAGTGACATTTTGGCGGTGGTGATGGAGGGGGGGTGGGGGGAATGCCTTCTTGGTGTCAAATTGGAGACGATTGCACGAGGTGGGAGAGGGGAAATGTTGCAGAGTCCTTCCCACAAGATTCCGCAAGCGCGTGGCCTGGTTCCTGGTTCGCGCGTCGAGACATTCGCAGCAGGAGGCGGCTGCAGCTCCTTGGGCGCCTGTGGCCGATTAAGCTCGGTGGGCCTCGGCTGGTAAAATACAAATACGATGTTTAGAAGAGTTTAGTTTCTTCAAACACGTGCCGGGGTTGGTCCCCTCGTGCGAGTGTGGGCGGATTACCCTCATCCAGCAGTGGATTGACAAAACAAGGGGGCTTGTACAGTACACATCCCACCCAAACATGGTGTTTTACGTTTCCACCAATCTCTCTCCCCCCCCACTCCACCTCGGGGGGGGGGGGGGGGGGGGGCACAGCTCAGGGCGTTCGCCGAGGTCGTTAGCGGGGAGCGAATGAGATTGAAGGTGGTGGTGGTAACGTGGCCATGTGTGTGTGTGTATTGCAGGTGATGAGTGGGTCAGTGTCTGTGTGCCAGTTTGTGTGTAATGAGGGGGGGGGGACGCCATGTGCCCGTGTGTGTTGGGTGTCTGCTGTGAGTTACGTCTCGTGTGTATGCGGAATGTGCGCTGTTGTGTCCTTTGGGGGGGGGTGGGTGGTGGTGCTTGTGTGTGCGCTACGATGGCCCGGGTTCGATGTTCTGGTGCGGTGTCAACATCGCCGCTCGGGAGCCAGAGGCGGCCGTGCGTGGTGCAGGCCACACTACCCCCCCCCCCCTCGTGTGCCGTCCCGGCCTTCATAGATGCTTCTCCCTAACAACATTTCCCCCAACAGTTAAAGGCTATACGGGGAGGGTCTTTGCCTAGTGGGGGTGAATGTTAGGGGGGGGGGGGATTGATTGTAAGTGCATCGTGTGTGTAATTGCATAGGGTGATGTGTAGGAGTGCATGGTGCGTGCTTCGGGGGGGGGGGGAGGGGGGGGGTGGTACGTGTGTCTCGGAGGCACCCTTTAAATGCGTGGAATAATTTAAACGGATCGCGAGACGCCTTTTTTTAATGTAAATTTGAATGTCTGACTACTCCTAACAAGCTTGTTTTGCGTCGATGTAGTCTCCTTTTAAAACGTTCGCGTCTTTGGAGCCGCAAGTCAAATGACGTTCTAGACCATTTACTTTTTAATGATAATATATAAAATTTACAAAAAATAATAATGCGGTCTTCAGCTAAATTACGGTGGTAGTTTTTTTAAAATGCTCCGTCCTGATCGTAACTATACTCCTGCTGCACAAACACGACATGCGTAAAAACCGACAACTTTTTACCCAATTGTGTTTATTAATAAATCTTCGCGTCTGGGGAAGGTGATGATGATGGTGATGGGTGGTGGTCTCACAGGAGCCCGTGTGTAACCATTACCATGCAGTCTCTCGCCTAATTTATAACACATCGTTGTGCCGCGTGGACCCCGTGACCGCGCGCGTGCCCGTTTGTTTTAGCCGTTGCGAACAACGATTTAAATAAAGTTGATTTACAAAAAACAAAGAAATACGATACTTGTCCGCATTTTGTGTTTTTTGTGTGGAAGTGTTGCTGCAAATGGTCGTTGGAGCTACAGCCCTGTCAATCCACTGCTGGATGAAGGCCTATCCCCAGGGGGTCTGCAACTGAATTAACAAGTGTCCCTTTTGTTGAATTCGGTAAAAACAACTTTCATGATCCGCAATGGATGAGATACGCGAGGGCGGTGGTCCATGATAAGTAACGTCACAAGCAATCCTTAAAGAGCCGCATATTGTGCCGGCCCCTGGCTTAGCCCAATCGTCTCAACTGGGCCTAACGCTACCACGAAGACTGTCGTCTATATATAGATGGACGAACTGGACGTCGTGAATTCTAACCCAGCCTCGTTCGTGGCCCCAACCCTGATCGCGCCATCGCCTGGATTTAACGTTCCTACGCTTCGAAGACATTGCTGGTGTAACATAACATGATTACACCACGATTACACCATGTTACGTGCGTACGTGTAACACCGCACCGTACGTAAGCCAACCGTGCGACTCGACCGCATCAGAAGATCATAATCGGGCCTTCGTGACATGGGCGTGGGGGGGGCGGAATTTCAAAAGCCACGAGCCGCAGGAGTACGATTGAGGCCACGAGCTACGGACCGCGTCGTAAACCCTGCGCTCCTTCAACTGCGGAGTGACAATTGTACGATGTTATAGATATCCATAGGCACACGGAGATGGATGAACTTTTAAGGCACAAGCCCCACACTATGGACCAGCGCAGTAAACCCACTGTGGTTTGCGTTCCTTCAACGGACGAGGAGGGACGGCGACACGAAGTCTCTGCTGAAGCCCCCTCGTCGTGGCCAGCAGAAGACTTCAACACTGGCATCGGTGCGCCTGAACAATATTGGTGCTATATTCTTGGTTCTAGATTTGAAGCTTTCGTGACTGCAAGGATCCATACTCTTTGGTTCTATTTTTTTTACCGAATAGAACCAAAGAGTATATTCTTGGTTCTTTCGGTAAGTCACGTAGAAGGGAAACGATAAAATAATAAAAATATAAAACAATACAATTTTCACGTAGTTTCGACTGCAACACAAGCAATCATCAGGTGTGAAAACCACAAAATTTGAATTTTCCTGTGGTTTCCACAGTTTGAAAAAATTATTGTGGTTTTTCACACCTGATGATGATTGCTTGTGTTGCAGTCGAAACGTCGTGAGAATATAGTTTTATATTTTTATCATTTTATTGTTTCCCACCTACGTGGTGACGTTACCGAAAGAACCAAGAATATGAATCCCTGCAGTCACGAAAGCTCTAAATCAAAATATTGGTGCTATCGTCGTGCGCGAGGGGTGGGGGTTGGACGCTTCCCAGTGCAGGATTAAGCTCGTGCGGGGCCTGTAGCAGATGTTATTAAGGGTCCCTAAATAAAAAAAACACGTAAATATTAAAACACTTAACGTGCATAGTAAAACAATTGTATTTTTTTTTCATTTGCTATACAGCCAGATAATACGACATCGCTAACCTTAAACACCCGGTCGTTCATAAAATTTTAAGTCGGTATAGTAATGGAGCAAGTGCAGAATCGCTGAACCGGAATTAATAGCTTTAAATCATTCAGATGCAGCTACTACACTGGTACTGCACTAGTAGTAGCTCCTGCAGATGCAGCTACTTTTGCTGCTAGGATAATGATCCGGCACTGGTGCTACCGCAGCATCGTCGCTAGTTGAGCGGCTCGCTCGCCCCACGTGGTGGCGCCTCTGATGGCTGCAATGGGGGAGTCGCGAGCGCATCGGGTGCAGGTTGCCCTTGCTTCGTGCGGATTTGCTTCGTGCGGATTTGCATTGCGTGCGAAGATTTCGCGCGTACGCGGTTAACCTGGGTTCCAAAAATCCGCTGTCTCATGCCGTTTGAATTCGCTGAAATGCGGCTAATGCGGTCGGACGTGGGACAATAGTGTGTGTAGAGTGTGCGCACTGTGTGTGTTGTGTGTGTTGTTGAAACATTTTCATTTTTTTATTATAAATAAATTAATGGGGGGGGGGGGGGAGAAGATAGTGTCGGGCGCGGGCGATTCGATACTGACTCGTGTGCTTGACATTAATCGATTCGATACTGACGCGTGTGCTTGACATTAATCGATTCGATACGTGGCTCGTGCGCTTGACATGAATGGACGCATCGTAGCACCGTTAGGTTAATAATCGAGATTGTTTGCGTTAGATCGCGTAAATATGACTGTGTCGTTAAACCCGCCACCACCCGACACGGCCAATTAGTAAGGGGTTGTCACGTAAACAGGACGTGCCAATTAGTTACTACGGGTGTGTTGGAGAGTAAAGCCACTACAACATTTAAAATTCGAGTACGACGTTTCGCCGGCAATTACAACTAGCATCAGGCGGACAGTTGTGATTACTGATGAAGCTGGTTGTAATTACTGGCGAGATGTCGTACTCGAATTGTAAATGTTGTAGTGGCTTTACTCTACACCACACACACACACAGCCGGTTTGCTGTACTAGTAACGACTTTGCATATTTAGTTTACGTGACAAACCCCCTATTAATTAGCCGTGTCGGGTGGTGGCGGGTTTAACGACGCATTCATATTTACGCGCTCTAAAAAAAAAAACCCTTCTTGTTATGGATAAAATTGGTCGCGAGAGCCCCCTGCCACTACGCCTACCAGGAGGTGTTTAACCGAGCGCCGTTAGGCGTTGGTCTGTCTTTGGACACGAGTTTCAATCAACAAGCACACAATCAAGGGCTCGAACGAAAAAAAAATCCACGGAATTGAATCGCTCGGCCTTTGCGCATCATGCAACAAAAATGCAAATAAACCGGCGGCAGTTCCTGGCGAACTGCACTCTGCCGTCCTCTTTCGGACGACGGTCGTTGCACGCATGAAGCGGTATTGACAAAGTGGTACTCGATTTATCGACCACCCCCCCCCTCCCCCCTCCATTGGGTTTGACTAAGTACCGTAATGTTGTCGAGGAAGGGGTGGATGGGTGGGGGGGGGCGCTTTGACGGAGCACGCGGGCACGCGCACGCGGGCACGCGCGACGCCCCCCACCCCCTCCCCCCACCTCGCCCCCTCCCCCCACCTCGGGTTCGCGCTGAGTCGACACAATTCGCGAGATCCGAATTAGCTCGGATGTTTAATTGTCACGTGGGCGACAAAAAACAACGAGATTGCAAACAGCCGCATGGCCGGGCCCCACCCCCCCACCCCGCCCTCCCCCGTCGACGGGAGGGTCAAGTGGGTGAGCACTAGGTGCTCTCTAACACCACGCGTCCCACCACTCTATATTATTGCTGTGACCCTCATCCCACCATCACCACCACCCCACCACCACCATCCACCACCACCACCACAACCATCCCACCCCATCACCACCACCCCACCACCACCCCATCACCACCCCACCACCACCACCCCATCACCACATTCCCACCCCATCACCACCACCATCCCACCATCATATCACCACCACCCCACCACAACCATCCCAGCATCAAGATCACCCCCCCCCCCCCTCCTCCGCTTACCCCGCGCCCCGCACCTCTGAAAGGTGCGGGTTGTTGAGATCAGTTTGGCCAACTGCTATACATCTCCACGTGATGATGGTGGTGGTAAGCCAATTCATTGAGCTATCATTCGGTGATGGCCAGGTCGCTTTATATATATATAAAAAAAAATAGCTACGTAGCATAGTGGGCCTTACCAGGTAAAATAAAATAGGTAACTGCTTAATGTTGAATCTGCCTTAACTAGTTTAACTGTGGTTTAAAGGTGATTAAGGCCGCAATATGTAGAGAGATCACACGAGGCGCTTGCTTCATGTTGTGTATTGGTGATGTTTTCGCCGGATCAACGTGTCGCTTGGCGTTCCGCGCGCACGTTCGACACCTCTCCTGCACGACCTACGCCAACACGTAAATTATTCTATCTGTTTTATTTGATGTTTACCAAGTAAGGACCCACTGAGCCACGTGGCTCTTTTTCAGAAGCGACCCGGCCACAAACGATAGCTCAACGAAGTGGCTTTCATCACGTGGGCATTTTTAGCAGCGAAGCTGAACACTCTAAACGCGTGGTGATGTTAATTCTAAATGTGGAGGGAAAAATCGGAGGACCCGGAGAAAAATCGACGTGACCACAGGGAGAATGTGCAAACTCCAAATACACAACAGGCGTCAGGGTCGGGATTGAACCCACGATCTCCTGTCTACCAGGCGAGGTAGTTACCATCTCGCTATCATGGCGTCCCGTGATGCACGTGTTGATAACTACTGGGTTAGGCTATAACGGAGGAGATTTGTATATATGTATGTGTGTTGGTGTGGACCAATCAGTTTCAAGGACAATGCATATTTTATCATAGTATGTTTTTTGTCTGCATTTTGACTGCAGTTATTGTGGTTAATGCAGACATGAATCCTTGTAAAAAGGTTTCAGTTTTGTTGCCAGAAAAAAAGGGGAGAACCCTATTATTAATGTATGTGTGTTTATGTGTACACGTGTCTGTGGGGAACGATCGTGTAGCGGCTAGCGCGCTGCGCTACGATCCCGGTAACCCGAGTTCGATTCTCGCTCACGGCCAACACCAGTGACGATTACCTGAACCGGTCCTGAGCGTCTCCTAGGTCGACCAGCCTCAGATGATTACCGAGTGCGGTGTGGAAACATCACCACGAGGGAGATAAAGGCGGTGGGGCGTGGTGCTGGCCACCCACCCCTCTCGTATCCTGTGCCGGCCTTCATAGGCGCTCGCTAACAGCACTTGCCCCAACAGTCTCTTAAGACTATACGCGGCATCTTTGTCTTTGTGTGAATGTTCAACTTCCTCCAATGGGAGGAGATTGTTGCAGTGACAGAAATAAGTAAAGTCACGTAGAATGAGAATAAAATAATAAATTGATAAAATAAAATAACACAACACAAGCGGCCTTCATCAGGTGAAGGGACTAGACTGTCTGGAGGACAGCGCTGGAGTGAAAAAG